CCTCATCCTCACCTTCCTCCTCCTCAACTCCACTGCTTAAAACAGGACTCCAGGCAGTGATGAAAGGTCCCCCAAAGAAGAAACCATCTCCAGAGAAGAGAAAGTAAGTATTCGGCTAATGAAGAGGTATACTTTGCATCTGAGAATCAGTGTTCTTTTATTGGCAATGTTGTTGAAGTGTGGAGGCGAACCAGCTCTTCTCCTTCCTTCCTTCCCTCCCTCCCTAAGAGAATTACCTTGCCCTGTTTGCTGAATGTTTAGAATGGCTTCTGGCATCACATGCCTAGTGCAAATGTCATGAGATCTTGGGGAAATAGTCCAAGAAGACTGCCAGATGCTAAAAGAGCTCTGGAAGATTTGTGGCACTAGCTTTTTTGGGTAGAGGGAGAGGTGTATCAGTTACAATAGGACTACACATGGTAGGCTCTACCTAAAAGTACTTTAAAAATATTGCAAAATATTACAGATAAAAGTAAATGCTAAGAATGTTGCAACTTATAAACTGATGGTATTTCATTACAGTATATTGTTTTGCCATGTTCTCTCATGGACACAGATGGCAAATTCTGGCTACTACATTTGATGGTCCTCTTTCTTTTAGAGCAGTGTTTCTCCTATTTACAATATTTTAAGGTTTTTTTTAAATATGAAATACAAATAAAGACAGTGGAAAAGGAATGGAAGAAACAAAAAGCAGTGACTTCCAGCTTCTTTCGTTGCAGTGAGATACATAATACAGTTACAATATCATCTTTTTACTTATCTAAAACAGTAAATACCAGCTGTTTCTATAATCATGATCTGCTTAATCATCAAATCTTAAAATGAAATTTTTTTTTTTCTCTCTTGAGTAGAAAGTCCAAAAAATGTTTCCAGGTGGACATGAACTATTTACATTCTTTCCCCTAATTAATGCAATTAAATTTGCTATCTCTGCCAATTCCTTCATCTTTGCCTTCATCATGGTGGGGCAGTGGTTAGAGTGCAGTACTACAGGATACTTCTGCCAGCTGCCTGCAATTTGGCAGTTCAAATCTCAGCAGGCTCAAGGTTGACTCACCCTTCTATCCTTCCAAGGTGGGTAAAATGAGGACCCAGATTGTTGGGGGCAATATGCTGACTCTGTAAACCGCTTAGAGAGGGCTGTAAAGTGGTATATAAGTCTAAGTGCTATTACTATCTTTTCAATTCATTCCTCATTTCAGTGCCTCTTTCCATTTTTGACCATTTTTTTTTACCATTGGCTCTTTCTATTGCTAGGTCACACAGCCCTAGAAAACCAATTGATTCATTGAGAGATTCCCACTCTCTGAGCTACTTTCCAGTAGACTGGCGTCAGATTTCCCCTCCTGCCCAACCACCCTCTACTCCAAGGGGTCGACGAAGGTAGGTCTCTTGTCTGAGAAGTTGTTTAGAGATTATTTCCAGAATGCATTTAACATTGAATCCAAGTCAGTTTCATACCCACATTCTCTATCCAGAGACAGGTCTAGGGATAGGTCCTTGCAGAGAAACAGACAAAGCATCAGCAGGTCTCCAGGACGAAAATACCGACGCAAATCTCCCAGTCCCCGAGCTCCTTGTCGCAGAACTTCAAGGTAATGAGCATGACTTGCTAGTTTTAGAAATGCCTAACAATTACTAAAGGTCCTATTAAATGTTAAATGCAACTGACTTGCCTGTACTTATTATAGTTTTGTTATTTCTGAAATAGTGTGTTCCTACTCATTTCCTAAAGGTATGGTGACATTGTGCTAGTGTCTTTAATACTAAAATCTCCATCTTATTGCCAAATATTTATTTTATTTCTTTAAAAAAAAAA